ATATGATATATGGTGTCTTTTATGGTACGAAGTAAATGTGGTGAGTATGGTATCACGGTGAGTGTATGTGGAGACAACGGAGATGGGGGGTGAATGTTATTGCAGTGATTGTTATTTAGCCGGTACGATCATCCTGTAATGCATCTGGTTGCGGCCTTGCTTCTCGTGCCAAGGAGCGACCGTGTGTGAGCACAAAGGAGCTCTTGATTAACCTGTCAATGATCATCGACACAAGAGGGGTGAAAGCGGCAAGCAGCAAAAAGCAGTCGATTCGCTGACTTCCGGTACAAAACATGGGTATTTTAGTGGGAATGAATGTGTTCTTTGGCTTGTGGGTCCCTTTGCAAAATCGGTAAATTCATTGGCTGCAAGTCCCCAAGCAAGTTGATTTAAAATTCCACGGAAAAGGGTACACGATTTGGTGCCACGTGGTGTGTTATCTTGCACAACGTCTAGCCAAACTGAAAACCGATCTTCACACCATTGCACATTGCACACTTGCAACTTGATCAACTGCTTTTCTGTGCTCCAAATTGCGTCAATTAGGATTCCAAACAATAAGGAAATATGGCCAAAGCCACGAAATCTCCAGCCGGTGGTTTCAAAGAATTTCTGCGGTCAAGATCGAGTGCGTTTACACGGCTACCATCACCATTTGGCTATGCGATCATGTCCTCTCTTGCCAGGAAACCACCCGCACAGAATGGTCTTAATTTTAAAAATTAATTCACAAAATTTGTGAAATACCTTATGGCATGAGGCCATGCATTGCATGGCAGCTCTACGAGTGTTTTGGAAACGGAAAATGCGCATGGAGTTTGGGCGCCACAATCGAAACATGGGTGACTTTTAGCGGGGGACAAAACCTCGTAGTTCTTCCCTTATTGCAAGCTTTCACAACTGTACTGTCGAGCAAATTAGTAATCTGCATTGATGCGTTACCAGTTTGAATGAGTTCGAAAAGGGGTCGCTTTTTCCTGATAGGCGATGTCGAGCAAGGCGAGTGACTGAAAATTCGATAGGCGTTCCTGCAAACCGATTACGTGAAACATACGTTAAAGGGGAGAAGCTGTGCCACGAATGCCTATCGTGCCAGCTGGTAAGTCTTTAGGAGGTGCAGCTGCGTGCACAGGCCTTGACTTCAATTTGTTCTGAAGACGTTTGTGCGTTTGTCTTGCTGCGTTCAGCCATCCATTGAAGGAGTGTATCTGATCCCGGCCCCGCCCCGCCAACCTCAACAATGTGCGCCACAATACACGCCGTGATACGCCCCCACAGCTGAAGAAGAAGTAGGCGACTGCTACAAAGTGTATTGACTCCTATTCGTGGTGTCAATTTTCTTATTTCTTTTGCTGTGTGCTGTAGCGCGGGAATTTGTTATGGGAAGACTGCATGCTAACGGCAAGCAGGGATTGCGAATTCGGTAGTGCTGACTGTCTTTGTTGTTCTGCTGATTGGCGTGGATGTGTTACACAGATTAGCTCTTTTGATTTGGGGATGCACTACCGTTTGGGGGGTAATGCTCGATTGAGGGGGTGGGCATGCAACATCGGTGGTTGGTAAGTAGATGTCATAGTATGGGTGCTGTACATTCTGTGAAAAGAGTAGCGTATGAACGCAATGTGGTGAGCGCTGTGCTGGGTTCGGGGGCACATTAGTCTTTCCTCGATTTACGGCTGGCCATTGCGGCGACTTCCATCGTGGTACATGGTCGTCCAGGACTCCAAAGCCCTACACCTTCTGAATCACGAATTGAAGCGACAATTTTCAGCTGGAGATAATAGGTCGCTTAGCAGTTGAACAGTGGAGAAACAGACAATTTTCGCACAAAGCACATCTCTTTACAAAATTGGGAGCGGTGCTGGCGAATTGCAAAGTAGCCAGGAGCGTTTTAATGTAGTAATGTGTCACACTTGTCCCACCTGGGTACGACTAGCCATAACTGGCGGCTTCGATCGTTAGTGGATCGGTGCTGTGTCCCGAAGTCTTCTCTCGCTGTATATCGGTAAACAAGACAGGGATGTGGGTATCGCGAGTGCTGGTGCATCTACGGGACATATCCAAAATGTGGCCCCCCCCGGCGTGTTGTGTCATGCCATGAACAAAACCGTGTCATATGTTTCAAGTTAAGCGTGTCTCCACATCAGTACATTGCCAATACAAGCTGACACACCTATTCCTTCTACTTCAGTAGATCTTCAGAGTGCTGTTTGTCAGGTGGAAACACTCATGGCCTGAATATGTGCAGGTTTTTGACAACCTTCCCCACAGTTCATGGACGCAATTCGGTCCTGACTCTGTACTCGGGGGGACTATGAATGCACATTGCAGAGACGAAATTCGAGATCTTCGTGCCTACATCGACGTCCCTCTTTTGTGTTGTATTTCGACACGTCTGATATCATGACCAAGACGTTGTAGTCTAGCCTATTCTCTCGACCGTACAGCAGCACTGCTTGAGAAAACAGATCTTTGAAATGCTACTACTGCGTTGAATTTAAGCACTGGCTGTGCTGGCATCCGCTCTGCAAGCACTGTGTCAAGGTGGATTGCCTTACCAGATGGCTTCCTTCTGCTCAGGAGAAATAGTCGTATTTACTCTCAATCATGCATCTGCACCTTGACTCATTTGCCAAGCCTTGTCGTTACCAACCACAATCCAGGTCGTGTCATGAGCAGCAACTCTTCCACACGAGAGCACATCAGCCAATGTTTCTGCTGGCCTCCCAGTTCCTTGTTGCGTGGATCGCAGCATCGGCTCGACATGTGCACATGTAAGCTTTTCAGAAATCGGAAATCGCTGCGGACCCTTGCGGCAATGAAATTAACTATCTTGTTAATGGGTCTCTGCCAAGGGAGACGACGGGTGGGCTGCGCCAGTGGTTCAAACGGCGCAGTTTTGGAACCTGGGGTTTACTCAGCCCCCGTCTCGGGACTTTCTGGCCACCCTAGTACTGTGGCACAGTCAAAGTACGAAAATACAAGGTGCCGCCAACCTTGGCGCCCTCGGGTTTGGCGAGCTTTGGCCGGGCTGAGTGGGGGCGGCTATCTGAGCTCCCCCCTTGGTCCCCCTCCTTATCTTGTTTCGCACCCGGCCCTCCCGCCCTAGAAGTGGTGTTCGGATTAGTTGTGGGATGGAGAGGGAGTGACGGGAGTGAAGTATGGGATTAGGGAGCTGACTCATGGGCAGAGCCACTCGCTGAGTGGGGTTAAGCGCTAGCGAAGCGAAGGGCAAACTGTGAGTATGGGGACCTCGCGTACAATACATTGGTTTGTGGTGAAGTTGTAAGTGTTTGTCAAAGGGCGTTACATGAACGGGTGGGCTCAGGAGACCGATAGGGCAGAAACTCCCTGGCGATGAACATCCTTTTGGAGTTCTGGCGAACATTTCATTCATTCACGAAAAATGGGCATAGCAAAGCAAGGAGATGGGAGGGCACGGGGGTTCAGACGTCGGGAAGATGCAGGCTTTCGTGTTATGGAAATTCATTCATGTGCCAGACAAGCGCTTTCAGCGCGTACTTGTTCCCCATTTCTCCAGAAAACTTGTCTAATTATCCAGTAGTTAGGTGAAAGAAGGCCTCGCCTCACGTCGGTGTGCACCAACATTTTGAAAAGCGCGGTGGCCGGGATGTTCCAGGGTGAATGTTGTTTTCCGGGGAGGCTGCAATATCTTCCTATTGAGTCAAAGCTACAATTGATTATGCTCTAATTGGGTCATTTACCATCAAACTTGGGGACTAAATCGACCCTCACGGCCGTTGTTTTGGCTGTAGGAAAGTCCGGGCGGAAAATTTACCAAGAATGTACTAGCATCTACGTCACAGACATGCTCGTAGCGTGCACGGGGAAAATTTTCGCGAAGAATTTCCGACGGACTCTGGGTTGTACCATGTTTCTTCTGCCACACCGCTGTCATTGTACTGACCACTGCATGCTGATGGCTGCAGTGCTAAGAGCCGCTGTAACTGTCCCTGACTTGGAGTTTACGTGGCAATGTTCGTGGCGCACATTGCTGCTTTGTTACTAAGGCGCTGCCTTACAACTCCGCTGTCCAAGGACGCCGCATATATCCAATTGATGGTTTTGCACACTCTGCATATTTCAACACTTACTGCGTGTCGTACTTGCCACGAGGACACAAGGGCCTGCAGGCAATGTCGCCCCTTGCGTCTGGAGCTCAGTAATGGAGATGGTTCTGAGTTAGGCACAGTGCACACATTCATGGACTGTATATGCACTCATTTCCAGAGTGTGTCATCTCCAAGTGCCACGCGTGGTGTAGGCGCAACTCCTAGAATCTTACGTGTATGACGCTGGCTGAAGAAACCGATGCTGCCCTCTTCGCTTTTAATGCCATAGTTAACTAAGATTCAAACCTGTTTTTTTAAAATCGTTCCGCTGTGAACATCCCCCACATAATCTACATGCCGTACACACACTGCCCTTGTTGCTGTACTAGACTAGTCAACACACCCCAGGGAAGCATCCAACGTATCGTCTATCCTCCCACCCCAACCTGTCGAGACAGGGACTGCTTTATGTAAAAATCAAACTTGGGGACCAACAAACTATCAGCCATTTGTGCTACCAATCCACTATTTGAGCAACAACAATATATTCCCCTGCATGCCGATTGGTCCTCTGCGAACCCTGCGCTCACAAATGCCTGGACGTTGTATCCTAGCCATTACCACTGTGGTCGCATCCTCGCACCAGCGCTGTATCAGCCTGGTACCCGACAATTGCCTATCTGCATCTACAAGCAGCTCCCCTGGCCCCAATTCCCAATTATTGCAAGGGCCGGATGCGATTAATTCTCTCTTTGAGCACATTCACCAAACGCACAAAACACTGCACATTCACCTATCAGCAGACATTGGGAAAGGCGGCCCTCAGCTTCCATCTGGCCCATTGGCCACCTCAGCAAACACGGCAAATTCCGGCCCTGCAACGTGCAGAGGATGACGGTCATTAACATGGTGCGCTCCTGGGCTGCATCACACAGCTTGGGGACTGACGCAAGATGGTGCGGAACGAGACCCTGCATCATCATCATCCCTCGAAGTCATGAGGTCTTGCAGGGCAGTTGTGATGATGGTGTAGAACTCGCGAAAGTCCCGGCGGTCCCCCCTGTTCCGCTGTATCTCCACGACTTGGATGCCCGGCAGCAGATCGAACACCTCGGCGCTCGCAGCGATCGTGCGCTGGGCGCTGATGGCGAAATAAATCTTGATACGGTCGCCGTTCCTTGGCTCGACACGGCCGCCAACTTCGCATACGGAGCTGCTGATGCGATTCAGGACGTCGGCGGGTTCTCCATAGCACGTGAAACGCGTGTTCCTGAGGAGAACCAGTCCATTGCGGTGTTGGCACTGGCACCCACTGGCAAAAGTAGGCATTTGCTTGAACACTTCGCTGTGTAGTCATGTTGAAAACAAAACGAGATGATAATGAGGGCTGAGCACCTCATGGGCGTGAAACAAAACACAAGAACAGGGTATTGCCACTGCCCAAATGTCACATGGACACAAAACAGAAAATGGCACAATCGTGCACACAAAGCGCCAGCCCAACCCTTACAACATTCATGGAATTGTTCGCTTCATATTCAGAGCAGCCAGTCTGCACACATTTTCTCTACTGTTCTGCAGGCTGTGGATTGTACCAGGACAATAATTGCCCTCGTATGGGCAGGTACATTCGGAAAGGACACAATCCTGGCTGAACATGCACAGCATAGTGTAAGAGACATTGTTCATTCATAGTGCAGCAACACACCTCTGGATGACCTCTCTGCGATTTTCGAACAACGTTGACAGATCCAGCGCAGTGCCAATCAAATGAAAGGCAGTGTACTGGCTGTTGCTACGGTGCAGAGTTGTCCCCTGTGAGCAGGGCTCGTCTGTGCTGTTCTCGCCAACAACTACCCGCTTTAATTCCACATTCTCCTGGAAGATGTCTTCAGCATCTGCGGCCTTGGGCGATGACATCAGCTCTGGGGGCACCACTGGTGTGTAATCTGCAAGTTCCAAACAAGGATTACTCTGTCAGCAACACACAGCAAGCAGTTATCCTACTATCAGAATGGACGCTGCAGGCTGACAGAATCCGACCCTTTTTCAGTTTGAATACTCAGTGGCTGCCTGGCAAAGAAAACCACATCCCGCCAAGATGGTTGCAAAGACACAATCCTTGTTTCCATGTTGAGCAGTGGACAACAGGTCACACTTAGGGACTAGCACAGCTTCTGCGTGTGGATCTCAAGCTAAAAGCCTCCTAAGATAGAGATAGACGCATGTTGTTGGACATCCACAGAGAACAAGTCTTTGAGAAACCGCCCATCTCGGCACTTCGCCTTGTGATGCTGGACACATTCCTAGAATTCTGTACCCCTGGAATACTGACAGCCTAGACCTCTAACAGGTGCAGCTATTACAGCCACAAACTTCCAACTACTATTATCTCGAGTTCAAAGAAAAGCCCCACCCACTGCCTATGTACCAAAAGATCATGCAACACTGCGATTCAACGATACTTGCTTGAGATGGGAGATCCCTGGAGCTCCATGCAGCAACAACCAGGAGATTGCAGTGCATGCAGGTTGGATTTGCTGGTAAGCGCCGCAAGCGGCAGCAGTATAATCCTAAGGCAATACTGCACACGTCCGCCCTGCATCACAGGCAGTTTCGCCTTTGCTGATGTTTGCCATCTTTGCAGTCTGCTTCTTGTCCAGATTTACACACACACCAGACATTCTTCAACTCTCGCAGCTGGGTGTGAGTTATGCTTCTCCTTTCAGCATTTCTAGATTTTGCTTGACAACAGGTGGGAACACATCACATAAGTTGGTACATAGGCCATGGCCTGTAGGAGAAAACATGACATCACCTGTGTTGACTGTCTTTGAAACAAAGCACTAGAGCTACAAGCTAGAGCTCACCTCTGTCCACCCAATCGTGGGACCGGATCTCATGAATCGCGATCCTTTTCTGGGGATCAGGGAACATTAGCCTCTTCAACAAGTCTTTCAACTCAGGCGACAGGTGTGATGGCATGTCAAAGTCAGCAGCTGCGATCTTTTGGAACAATCTTGGAAGACTCCTGTCATCGAATGGGAGCTGCCCCACCACCACCACATACAGAACGACACCTGCAGAGCAATTTTGGCTTGAATGCCACAGTGCTAACTGGCGAACGGCAATGTGAGTGAATGCTGCTTCCCAGTGGATGAATTGATGCACAGAAATTCTGCTTGTCCAGTTGCACCAGGAACAAGCCAGGATTGGTGACCTTTGCATACTGATGACAAAAATACACAAGTACAAGGTGCCACTGTAGACTGCTTCCATTCAGGGCAGAACTGGTTTTTGATTGTGTTACAGTCATGTTACCAGCTCATGAGCAATCAACAAGCCTTTCCATACAGACACATTCTGCTTTTCACTTTAAGGCAACCAAGACATGCATTCCACCGCAGTGCACGGTGCTTACTGAAATGTGGATAGGCTTGTGCCCCGATCAGCCTGAACATGTCAGCACAGGTTCACTTACTGTGTCTCCATATCTAATTAAATAGCCAGACATATCAGACATAACATCTTTAAGAATGAAAAGAAGCACAGTGTGCTATGCCTACTGTGATTATCCCACATGTATCTTGGGTCTTGTGACACCACGTGCGCAATGGCGCCCGGTGTGGCACCGTACATTTGGCGTTTAGGGAATCCACTTGACGCCTCCACCCGTCGCGCAACCCAAGACACCCTTGTTGCCCCCAACACTTTTGTTTCTGTAGTGTGCGTGAAGAGTTGTCTGTGGGTATCATATGCACATGAGCACATGTCCTACTGATCAGGGTTCCATACAGCACACTGTTATCTCCATGGAACAACCTTCCTGTTTCTCCTGAGCAAGGTTATGCTTACAGAGCAAAACACCTCAGGCTTCAATCTGAAGTAGGAGCAGATACTGCCTGGGGTCGGAATATACGCTGGCACTGATGCCAGCCTCCGGGGCTACGTAGTTTGGGGTTCCGCACGTTGTCCTCAGGAATCCATCTGGAGACATGGACTGCGTCATGGTTGCCGCCCCCAGTCCAAAATCGGACAACTTTACACTGCCATTCCCCGATAGAAGCACATTCTCTGGCTGATTTGCACCAATAAATGCACAACAATCTGAGCCAAGCTGCTGAAAGGACTAAAAGGGGGCAAACTTCAGGCATCGTCAAAAGACTTCCCTGAAAACACGGCCAACAAGCAGAAAAGCACAGCCCTACATCGCAGAGCACTCCTTCCTGAAACTGCTATCATCTGGGTAAAAAAGAATCTCCTGCATTTTGTTCTTCAGATGCAAAGTTGTCTGACTGCGTGCCCTGTTCTTCCATCTATAACAATCTTTGTGTTTTGCACGACCTCAAAATCCGTACAGTCACAGAATGACACTCAAAAGGGCTTATTATCCACTGCAACAACACCATCAAACACTGGCAACATGGTCGTCGAATGTCCACATATCTGTCCCAAATTTTGTTTTCAGAAAAAGACAATTGTACGTAGTTTTACACCTGAATACAGGTGGAAAAATGGGCAATTCACATAATTTAAGCACTTTTGTGCTGCACAATGCAGGGCTCCAAAAGATAAATCTTGCCAGACAATACTACAGGCTGTATTGTGAGCCCTTTCGTGCACTGCAATCGTTCATCCATGCGGAGAGCAGTAACAAAGCAAAGTACATCGTCCCAAGCCATGGTTTTGAAAGCTGCCGATACACCAAAAACACCTGTGTGCACCTTTAGGTCTCGATGGAACACTCCCTCCTGGTGGCAATAGTCCAGCGCATCCAATAACTGTTGGAACACTTTTCGAGCCTTGCATTCAGTCATTGGGCCTTCTGCTGCTATCTGATCAAACAGCTCTCCACCAGTCAGGAGCTCCATCACCATGTATATTTTGTCCTTGGAGGCCATGACCTGAACCACAGATGAGCAAGTTTTCAACATTGCACCATCCATACCCTAGCTGCTCCCTGGACTTGCACTGAATTTAGCTGCTCGCCAACTCAATATGCCTCAACCTGGCATCGCAGCCCAGCCTGAGGCCATGTTTCCTGTGCTAAACTGCACAACACAACACTGCACTGCACTGCACAACATGCTTGCCTGAAGATAGACATCGCACCAACAGCAGTGAGAAGCCATGTTGTTTGGAAGTAAGCGATGGGTAAGGGATTTTCTTTTCACATACACACATATAAGTCCTGAAGTGGGGCTGGGGTTGACAATTCTGATGGGGTAACAATGCAATAGGCCCAAACCTCGATTAGGTCGACGACATTCGGGTGCTTCAGTGCCTTCGTTATGGCGATCTCCTTCTTTATTTGCTCCACCATCTCATCCTCAATGAGGTCCTTCTTGTTCAAAATCTGCACCAAAACATGCACAATACGTCATTCCCAAACTAGTCTCAGTGCACGAGACTAAGAGAATATTTCGTTGTGTGCGATTGTTCGAATGTTCCCTTCTCCAGCCTCTCGTCATAGCCCTGCTCGCCCCTTCTGCCCGCATCTTGAGTACGAGTCGCATACCCGTTGATCAGGTAGTGGGGACCAATACGCGACCAGTTTTCGAGAATTTTCCACCCAGCTCGCGCACGGCATGAGGCGCGGAAGCCACCAAGGAATCAGTTTCTGGGCACCGCCGCCAGTTCACCGCGGCGTGAAACGGGCCGTCCGGCCGTCCCTGGTGTGTTCTGTAGCTTTTCCTGGATGCTGCAGAGAGGGCAGCAGGCCTACAGCTGTCCAACGGCCAGGCCCTGTGCACAAGGCGCGCTTGTCACAAATGGCCCGGGTCGCCACGGCAAACAGTTCTCATCAAGCCTCGCCATCTCCTGGCCCTAGCCCCAGTCCCTGGCCCCAGCGCCGTTGTCTATGCGCCCAATGGCACGATGGTCAATCCCACCTTGATCGCCACCCTCTCTCCCGTCTTGACATTTTCTCCGTACTTGACCTTCGCATAGGCACCCTACGAAGCGGCCAAGATCGTTTCAGCGCGCGGGGACTGGGCTTGAAACAAAAAGTGGGGGAAGCGCGTGGAACTCTGACAGCCTCGGAGGCCAGCGTCCCCTGCCACATCCATACCAACGGAGAGCAACAGGCAAGTCCCAGGACAAGATGCGCAGCGCACGCCGCGCGGGACGACAAAGGGCCCATCTTCCATAGCATCGACCCAGCCCGCCCGCCAGCGACGCCAAGCGTCGCGATTTCGACCAGCCGCAGCCGTGCGAACGGCCGCCATCGCCCCACCTCTCCAATCGTGCGTCCAAGGTAGTAGTCCCCCACTTGCTTTCGGAAGGAGCGGCGGGCGAGACCCGTCATATATCGCCCTTGCGCGGCTGCGGCCGGAGGAGCGAGGGGGTGCGATGGGTCCGCCCACGCGGCGCGCTGGCGACGTTGCTGCGGGCGCCGCTCACGGTCCGTTCACCGAGTTGGCGTCGCTGCCTGCCTTCGGAACACTCCCCAGGTTTGGGGGGAGGGGTGCCCAGGAGTCCCGTCGAATCAGCGGGGGCCAGGTGTGCGTGGCGTCAGCAGCGCCTCAGCACTGCCCTGTCGGGCAGGGCAAACAATTACTGGCTGCACCAAATCGGTGACCGCTTGCGCCAAAATATCCCTCCAAAACTAACCTCACCTAACACGTAACCCCTAAACCTAAGCCTACATTAACCCCAAACGCAAAACCTAAAACTCACCCTAAACCTAAAATTGAGGTGAGGACCTAGTGTGCGCGTGACTTGGTGCAAGCAATGACCGACTTGGTACAGGCAGTAATATTATTTTGTGGGGTGGGGGCGTTGGGGCCAATCAACAGCCAATAATCAGTCTAGGCCTGTGCACCCGATGTCGATGCACCTGATGTCCGATTCTAATATCGGGGCTGCATCGGAGGAGGAAGCAAACTTCGGGCTCCTGATATTAGCGTGTGACATCGGGCCATGGTTAACATCGAGCCCCGAGCGCAGGGGCACAATTACTTGGTGTGTCGTGAACGGCCCCGGCATCAGGGGCTAGAGCCAATTTTGGTGTTTCGATTGGGTTGCCAACGTTGGGTATCAATTTCGAGTGGTAATTTCCATCGTCGGGATCCAAGTCCGGCTACCTCCATCCTATGTTGTACCCAGGATAGACATCGCTCACCCATCACGTTGGCCATAACGCGTAAAGGCTTTTTGTTCGTGTTGCAGTGCGTGGTTGTGTTCAGTCGTTTTCTATTTCAGTGTGTTTTGCTTTCATTATGTTGGCGGCACAACTAACATTCATGTAAGGTGGCAACGTGGTGCATGTTTACAATTGCATATGGGCTTGCTTTGTTATACCAAGGTAGAGGGCGACATGCTCTTGCCTCTGCTTGATCAGCCCTTGCCACCTGGAAATCCAACCACAACAAGAAATTAGACATTTTGCTACCAACACCATAAACTCACCCACCACCATGGCCTTGATCATGTCCCTCACGTCCATGACCTCTACCTCTGCCTTTGCCTACATTGATTGAGGTTGTTGCTACTTCTGACCTATTGTATAAACCTACTACTGCTGGTACCGGCCACGTCCTCACCTACGTCCATATTTGCGGCCTCCTGACTAGCCTTTGGACTTTTGCCCTGACCCTGCAACTACCCCTAGGTGCCTCACTAAAGACTGGAAAAATGAAGAGCAGTCGTTCCGTCTAGAGCGCACCACTTCGAGCGGGGCTGCGTTGGCGCTGGCTGGGCTACCACCTATGCGGGTCCATATTATGCGGTGCCTTTTGTAGAATCCCCCAGAATAATCGTAACCAAATCAAGGCCGAACGACGGCAGTCGGCAATGTATTACAATGGTGGTGGGTCCCCTATATAGAAAAGGTTAAGTGCATTGGCGAACTGAGACAAATGGCCTATGGGGTACCCACTTTTATAGGTGGCGCGCTCACCCTCTCATCATGACACCCCCGGCCTCTTGCAATGTTTAATACACTTCTGTAATACCAACATCGGCCTCCTGTAATACCACCTCGGCCCTTGGAGAGCCATTCACATGGTCCCTTGGCCCCTTGGCATGCCTCTAGTAATGCCAGGCGG